GGCAGGACATGATAATGAACTGCAGTGGGCAGGCAGCCCAGGGCAGAGGTGAGAGTGAGATCTTGGAGTCTGGGGGGATGGGGCCCACTGTGGTCTCTGGCTGAGGGACATGTCTGGGAGGAGGAGCCAGAGCTGGGTGTGTGGCGGGGTGGGGGGGAGCCACTCATCTGCTTCTCAGTTCCCTAGGCAGTGTCTGAGGTGGACACTGGGGGGAGCCCCACTCCCATCCTGGGGGTCCAGTGTACCAACCGTGGTGGGTCTGGCAGGGTTGAGACCTCTTTAGGGTGGGGCCGGGCAGGAGCTGCCAGGTTCTAGGCCTACCGGTGTCACTGAAAGTGTGTGTGATCTGAGAAGTCACTCCCTCTCTCTTGCCCTCCTTTTCTTTGCTTTGACGGTGAGGATAAGAAAACCTGTTTTGCCTGCCTCAATGACTCAGTGATAAAAGGGAATTAGAGACAACAAACGTTTATTGAGCACTGACTTGTGCTAGGTTCTGGGGGCACAAAGGTGACTCGGACAGGGTTCCTGCCCCTTAGGGAGCACAAACCACTACATGCAGAAAGAGCCCTGGGAGCAGGTGGTTAACTCTTTCTAGGCATCGGAGAAAAGAGCTATGCTGGAGTTTGAGGGATAAATACAAACTCTCTAGGCGGGCAATGGATAGAACAACCTCCCAGGCCTGGAGAACAGCATATGCTAAGGCTTGAGCTCTGTAATGTGCCTAGGGTGGATGAGCACTGTTGTTTGGTAGGGCTGGAGCACAAAGGGAGAGGCAGGCAGTGATAGGAGATGAGACTGGGTGGAGAAGGAGGGTTCACATCAGGCAGGGCTTTGGAGATGGTCACTGGCTCTCTCCCCCCTCCTTCCTGCACCCTCACAGCTATCTGTTCTGCTCACTGAGACTGCCAGGGCCTTCCCACCCTGCTCCTTCCCCATCTTTCTGCCTTCTCCCCTCCTTACCACCACCTAAGCCAGACCGAGTGGCTGCCTCTCTCTCAGGAGTCAGCAGCCTGGGTTCCCTGTGAGCCCTGCTACTGACAGCAGTGTGGCCTGTAAGCACTCACTTGGCCTCTCTGCCCCTCAGTCTCCACCACAAATGAGGACTGCAGGCCTTTGTCACAGGGAAAGGGCGGAGGCTTCAATAAGATAATCCCTACAAAGGGCCTAGCCCAGTGTCTACATGTAATGCACATGCATTAAGAAAGAAAAACAGCTCTAATTAAATGATCATTATTTGGACTCCTCAATCTCCTCAGCCCCACCCACTGCTTCCCTTGTCCCTCCTGGCAGGCATTCTGACCAAGAATGGAAGGGAAAGATTAAGAAGCAAGACCAAGTCTCCAGAGGGGTCCTGGCCCACTGCCAAGCTGGCTCCCCACTCCTGGCCCTTGCCCCTCTTGGCCTCAGGCCTAGGCATCCTCCTACTCCCTACTCTAGTGTTGCTCCCTCCCCTCCATTCCCCTACCCCCACCCCTGGCTGGAGGCCAAAGCCAGCAGCAGCTCTGAGACAGGGACAAATATTTGGAAAATGTGTAGCTTTATTTTTTCCCTC